GTTGGAATCATGTTCAACTTTTAGCTTGTAAAAATGTTAGAAGGCACAATCCTTGACTGATTTTGACAAAACTTGTTTATTATCACCCATAGATGAACCTTGTTGAAAATAAAAAAAACTGAGAATTATTTTAAGTTTGAATATTTCATACAATTTAATTGTAACTTTAGTGCCAAATAATATTATTTAAAATCAAAGCTGCCAGTGAGCGTATATTACCTTGCCTGGAAAGTTAGCTTTAATTGTATGTTTAATTTTTTTGCCGATTTATTGTTCTTAAGAGGCTACAAAAATATTCAATAATCCTTATGTGATAAATTATCAGAGCGAAATATTCACAGTGACTAAGTCTGTATTGCAAGAGAGAATATGTAAATTTTCTATGTTTTATTAGAAATTTAGTTGAACATATAAATATATTATTCAAATGCAAATTGAATTATTTTATTGGTAAAATTCACCATTCATGTAAACACTAATATCATTATAGAGGAACATTGATAATGGCTGATTAATTTAGACTGTTATTTCCACTAGTATATGTCCTTATCACTCTCCATGTGAAAATGTTGCTGACATCTTTATCAGTCCTTTCACCTTAATATTGTCTGAGCAAATCAAAAGGTTTTTTGAATTTTTAGATATTTTTTAAGAAAATTGGAATATCAGCTTCAAAATAGTACTGATATTCTTTGGGCTGATAAAAATATCATATTTTGTAAGTTTACTTTGAAAAGAAACACATGTCTCTCCTAGGAATTTCAACTCAAAAAAAGTCACAAATTTTGACTGAAAATAATTGTCTTCTGTAAAAACAAATTGAAGACATAAGGTGTGCTCATGCTTATATTTTTATCAATGCAAAAACATTTTAAGACTAACACTATTATTAGGAAAAATTCAAAAAACTTTTACTTGCTCAGACAATAGCTATAAAGAATTCAGAATTTGTAGTTTTCATTCAATTTTAAAGTAACCTGGCGTAAGAATCATATTATAAAAATCGAGTTTGATTTTAAGCCCTTTGTTATAATCAGAAACAGATTAAATGCCTTTGTCAAAATTATTGAATAATTGAAAATTTTTTGCATGAAACAACAATAGATAAGAGCAGTTAGTGACAATAAGCCTGGTAAATCAAGTATTTAGACACGTATATCATCCATGCTAACATTATTTTGAATTAAAGCATTCAGATTTCTAAAATGTAGCCCCTATTTGAATAGACAGTTAATAGTTTACAATCTTTA